ATGGACTGAAGGAGACTACCCTCAGTAAAATAACGTAAATTGCAAACCTATGGTGGTAATCGCATACTCTGCTGCATACTGTGCAGACAGATGAACTTTATCTACGGCGACGTGGTTTTCACACTCGCCACAGAGATTGCAAGGGCTGCCTGCTGCCACATTTGTGTTTTTTTTCTTTCCGGGCGGTGGTGGCTATGCGCGCCTGTAATCCAGCACTGTGGTAGCAAAGGTTCATGGACCACACAAATATTGTCAAACTCCCTTACCCGTGATTGCCATGGTGCCATACCTTGGCTTGCCTGGGGAAGATGGCACGGCGAGGTTCCAGCTGTATGGGATTGTGTTCCCCCCCTCGACACACGTGGATTTTCTCTGGGTGCTCCGGTTTCCTCCCCACACGTGACACTTGTCAATTGGCCGATAAAGCACCTTCATATATAGAGGACCACAGAGCATGGGGGAAACTTGGTGCCGGCTCACCGCCTGGCTGCTGCTGCCTTCCCCGCTCGTCTGTAATTCCTCCTCGCTCGTCATTCTCTCTCTTTGAGAGCGAGCAGCGAACACTTTGGAGCGACGCGTTACAAGTTTAAATTATTTTTTGTTATTCATTAGCTATGTTCCATTTTATAATTTTCTGGGTATTGCGTACTGTACTCGCATAGTCCGTGCTTTTGTCTCTTCTGACTAATTAGTGGTGTTGATACCGAATCTCAGTCACAGGGCGAGGCATGGCAGTTGATATTTTATGAGTATACATCTGGTGTGTGTGGGCGGAAACTGGCCAAGGGGTTGAACATTTGTTGCTTATTGCAAAGTTTCGCGATTTGAACCTCACGGCAGCCCCGGTAAATACCGCGGGTTTATTAATCATTAAATACATGCCGACTGCTTCACAGCAGATATAAAAGAGCAGGCCATGTGTGCTGGCATCATGGTCCAATCTTGATTTGAAGCTTTCGTGACTGCAGGGATCCATGCTCTTTGGTTCTTTCGGTAAAGTCACGTAGGTATAAAATAAAATAAATCACGACGTTTCGGGCGCAACACAAGCGTCCATCATCAGGTGGGAAAGCGTGACTTTTACCGAAATAACTAAAGAGTATCATGGTCCAATTTTGAAATTACAGGATACACATAACAATTGTCAAATCCTACAATGAAAACGACTGCAAGCTATGCCTGTGAAATATTGCACCTTCGTTATAGCCTTGCACTATATAAATGATCATACCGAATTCAATAATTATATATATTGTTAAACCATACACCATATAATACCTTCAATTATAACTGGATACAATTGAGACTGAAAATAAAAAAAATTTCAAGGTAGACGTGAGTCAAAATTAGCGAGGAAAGCAACCGCCAGCTGACTACGTAGCGTCACCTAACCATGCTAAATTTGAAACAGCTTGTTTATCTTAAATACAACGTGAATAAGCGTCCACACGTGGTATTTATTGCAGATGTGCACCATCCACAATGCCGAATAATTTAGTTACAGCAGCACAGCCCTGGCCAGCATTACCGCACAATACCTTTGTGCAAGTAAAAAAAAAATTGGGCCATATATAGATATAGCTCAAGCAGAAGCTGACAGGACAATAAAAAAGAACTGAGCACTCATTGTAAGCCGGTGCAAACACAGGTTGCAGAGGCTGCAATGGCCCAAGCACGGGGCCTGTTCTGCTGAGCCTAATGAAGGGGTAGAGACTGGGCGCTTATACCCTGGAGGCTGCTGATACTTGGTGCTCGTTGAGAGGTGGGAAGATGAATAATATTTTACCACTGAGCTCAGCTCTGCTTGCTGTATATTCATTCACGCACAGAGACGACTACAAAGATCCCCCGTATAGCCTTAACAGGCTTTTGGGGCAAGTGCTGCCAAGGAGCAACTATGAAGGCGGGCACGAAACACGAGGGAGTGGATGGAACGACTTTGTCTCCCCGGTGGCAACGTTTACACATCGCACTAGGTACTCATCTGAGGCTGAGTCGACCTAGGGGAGGCATAGGGCCGGTTCATATAATCACCACTGGTGTTGGCCGTGAGCAGCAATGGAACTCGGGTTCCTGGGTTCGTAGCGTACCGGTCCCAGCACACGCATGTGCCGTCATGCTCCCTGTGTCTGCCAGTCATCTCAATCAGTTAACGCATGACACCTCGGTCTGTTCCGTGACCTCTTGCCAGTGAGCCATCGACACTTCGCGTGACATCAAAGTGCACATAATAGCCGAAGTTTCGGGCAATGTCCCTTCCTCACAGCTCATAGAGAGGCCTCGCTCCGTTTCGCAGAATGGCTGTGTGGAAGGGCCATTTCCTGAAATGGCACCTACTGTATACACTTTCTCTTTAAGATAGGTTTTTGACAAATGCATTGAGGTTTTTAAAATCTGTGCTTGTGCACCAAATACACATAGGTAAGGTAAAGGTTACAGCCCTTCAATTATTTACTCATGCCACTGCTGCCAGATGGGCCTCAATTAGAAGGAGCTCTGGACAGTCCCCTTCTCGAGGGTATTTTTTTGCCAACTTTGTCACGTGGGCCAGAACGCCTTGGAAGTGGTGGCAGCACCCACACTTTACCTCGCCTTACGCGACAAACAGCTGATCGACTCGCTGTGGTGGTTACATATACGCAGGTGATTCCCCAACAAGGTGGTCGCCGTATTGACCACAGAGGGGATGAAGGGTCGATTCTCCCCCTGCCCCCCGACCAGGATTTCAACTCACCTTACCTTAAATTTCGATTTAAAGCTTTCGTGACTGCAATGATTCATCTTCTTTGGTTCTTTCGGTAAAGTCACGTAGAATGAGAATAAAATAATAAATTGATAAAATAAAATAACACAATAATATTCTCACGACGTTTCGGCCACAACACAAGCGGCCTTCATCAGGTGAAGGGAGCGAGACTGTCTGGTAGGACAGCGCTGGAGTGAGAGAGCCACGTTCAGATCACGGCTTTTAAGCTGTGTGAGAGGAACAAAGAGCCTTAGAGTCGCGGCATTTTGTTCCTCTCACACAGCTTAAAAGCCGTGATCTGAACGTGGCTCTCTCACTCCAGCGCTGTCCTACCAGACAGTCTCGCTCCCTTCACCTGATGAAGGCCGCTTGTGTTGTGGCCGAAACGTCGTGAGAATATTATTGTGTTATTTTATTTTATCAATTTATTATTTTATTCTCATTCTACGTGACTTTACCGAAAGAACCAAAGAAGATCACCTTACCTTAACGAAACTCTGGCTCTCTGCTCAATTTGCCGTGCAGGCGAGGCGTGAAACGCGCTGCGTTGTAAACTGATTCACCCACCGCAGACTCGAGATCGGCGTCGTTGGAAGCGGCACTGGAGCCACCCTCGCCCGACAAAGGCGTCAGCTGAGCTGAGCCAACTGGCCACCTCATTCTGTTCGATGTTTACTCTCGCCAGCGCTCGTCGCCGCATGTCAAAATGTGATTTGTATTTGGCGGTGTGAGAAGCGCGTGCGTGCGCGCGTGTGCAAGAGAGGGGGAGCGGTAGTGTCGCGGTTAGCGCTACGCTGCGCTACGAACCCGGCGACCTGAGTTCGATTCCCGTTCACGGCCAACACCAGCGACGATTATCTGAACCGGTCCTGGGCCTCCCCTAGGTCGACTCAGTATCAAATGAGTACCTGCTGAGGTGTGTAAACATCGCCACGAGGGAGACAAAGGCGGCCGGGCGTGGTGCTGGCCACCCACCCCCTCGTGCGCCGTGCCGGCCTTAGTAGGTGCTCTCTAACAGCACTTGCCCCAACAGTCTGTTCAGGCTATACGGAGGATCTTTGTCTTTGTGTGCAAGAGTGGGCAGCGGTAGTGTAGCAGTTAGCACGCTGCGCTATGAAGTCTACGGCCCGAGTTTGATTCCTGCTCAATGGCCAACACCAGTGACGATTACCTAAACCGGTACCGCCCATCCCCGACGTCGACTCACCCACCCCTTCATATGTTGTTCCGGCCTTCATAGGTGCTTGCTAAGAGCACTTGCCCCCACAGTCTGTTAAGGCTATAGGGGACCTTTGTCTTTGTGGAAGAGTGAGTGCACCTGCCAATTTGCCACGAGTCATTTTAATGCGTCCAATTTTACTCGCTCTCGCTCTTCTGAACCAACCCTTCATTCCGAGATGACCTTTACCGAAAAAAAACCTCTTAACCCGATTTGTTAATCTCATAACAAGAATGCAGCCGGTTAGTTGATTGCAATGAAATCCACATCAGATGACTTTATAGAAAATTGCTCAATGCATGTAGGATTTAGTTTTACACGTTGTCACGATCGCAGCATTCATCTGAAAATTCTACAACATCGATTGCACCGAATGCACGTGACAGTTTATCGCCCTGCTCAGCAGGTGCAATGGGTGGAATATAATTCTGAAAAAAAAAATACCGCAGCCAATTAAGTAGCTGAATGCCTCGGGGGAATCTGGGCCATGCGTGCTGACATCAGTACCCTCACCCGCCAATATAGAAAGAAAGCCAACGAAACAGACTGTGCTCCCTGCACTTCCCCAAACCGCATTAACCACCGCGGAAAAGTAACGGTCTAATAAACCCCCAATGCCTGCGTGACCTGTGGAGGCCCTCATCCAGCGGTGGATTGACCAAAGCGCCGTCAATGTACATGCACGTGTGCACTGTGCAGGTCGCTGTGGGAGCATTGGTGTGGGATCATAGACCTGTATGTAGCACAACAATATATTTTACCGTACTGCCATCTGCTGCCCGCGGTCACGCACGTATGTCTGTGAATGTGTTTACATGCTTGCATGTCTGCCTGTCTGTGTGTGCATACGTGTGTGCGCATGGGGAGCGGTAGTGTAGTGCTACCAACCTGGCGACCCGAGTTCGATTCCCGCTCACGACCAACGCCAGCGACGGTTACATGAACCGGTCCTGAGCCTCGCTCCGGTCGACTCGGCCTCAAACAAGTACCTGGCGCGGTGTGTAACCATCACCGCGGGGGAACACGCGAGCTCACCGTCTGCTGCAGGTCCGGGATGCCCACGCGCACCACCATGGTGTTCTGCTGCACGTCCTCCAGGTGGCCGCTGGGTCTGCCGGCCGGCCGAGTGCTGGCCCCGCTGTCGTAGCCGCCCTCTGGGTCCTCGCCACGCGAGCTGTCCGTCTCGGACGCCTCGCTGTATTCCGACTCGGCATTCTGCTGGAGATCCATGACGCGTCCTGACAGCCAGAGGCTTCCCGCTGTCGACGACTGTTCTCTCTCTCTCTCTCGCTCTACGCCCGCTCACTTTGTCGCTCGCTCGCTCGCTAGATAGGATGGCTAATGCACACGCTCGACCATTCGCTCTTCTTACGCAGTATCTTGTTGCACACGCTAGCTGAGATTTTCTCCGCCGCGCATCCGAGTGAGTGTTTATTTATATTTGTTGTGCAGAACGGGGGACACTCTTTTTGGAGATATTTTAGCCGCTTTTTTTTTCTTTCTTGGGGCGTCTCGCTTGCAGCTAAATGCTGACTTAGGACCGAAACAATCTTGGTGTTTCTTTTCTCTTTTATGATTGCAGATTCATCGCTTCTTCCAATGTTCTCCAATGTTCTCCAATGTGTTCAGGTGGTCGTATCTTCAAAGGAGCTTGGTGGTCTCTTTGCATTTGTATTTCTTTTTGCGCTTTATATTTTGCCTTTGTTGCATTCTAAAGCCATCGTCTTTTATCAGAATGCATTAAAATCTCTCGGATTTTCCCTGCAACAAAAAAAAGAGCACCCACACGCACAATACCACTAAATTATGGCTTTCAACACAGACATCTTGCTCATCAAAAGCAGTGAAATGTATTAATTTACAGAGGCACATTTTTTTGTTCGCGAGTTCCACGTTTTATTTTTTTTCCCACGCTGCCACGCACGCTGCGAGGACGGTGTTGCAGCCACGATTGTTAACCTCGCCGATGCTAGAGGTGTCAGCAGCGAAGTTGCACAGCGGTGCTTGGCTTTCCAAGGTGGACGTTCAGTAAATGGCAGGAAGCAAGTGCAAACGTTTCACGATGAAACTGAAACGCCAACTGAACGGGATTCAATGCTCAGATTCCAAACGAAACAATTGCACGACAACGTTCACATGGTTCACATTAACACCCGCGTGAGGGTTACATTTTAATCCACCCTCAGTTTAGCGGTGTTGTAGAACCTCACCACTGCCACAGTGTACCTGAATCCTATGCTGGTGCCTTCCCAAACCTCACTCGTTAAAACGCTGCAGCACAGACTCCTACCAATACCAATATCCGCCATTCACCAGTAAGTAACGGTGACGTCACCACGGCGCCTGTACCAGGCTAGGTGCACTTTTAGGCCATGTGAAGTGTCGAAGGCTCGCTGACAGGAGGTCTCGGGTCAGACCCAGGTGCCATGGGTTGGCTGACTGAGATGATCCAGGAACACTCCTAACAACCTTTTTCACACACACTTTAAAGTTATGTCAATTATTAACTGCTCTCTATTGTTTCCAGCCATTTGCAATTACAGTGTGTACACCAAGATTCAATGTTCAGCTCAAAGCTAAGTGTCCCATTTTTTTCATAATAAAGCTCTCCTATTATCACGTGTACGCGTTGGATCAATAAAGTATATGAATACTCAAATAATAATTTAAAGAAAAGTAATTTAAAAAATAATAATGATGATTATTTGTGTTTGATAAAGCCCTCCTCTTACGTCAGCGGCAGAGCACTGTACATGCATAAGTGACTTACATCACAGCTCATCTCACCACATCACGAAAGGGAACCCCCAGTGGCAGCTGACCCTAAGCAGCAGCACAAGGTGGCTTGGTACCTGTCCAGAAAGCAGGCATTATTCTGCCAGTTGGGGGCGATGATTTCTGGTCTATGTAATCCCAATTGAGTAATGTTGCGGATAATATTTCAGCAAGTATTATACGGTTGATATGCACACAGCACTATTAACCAGGGTGGGCACCACGACTGAACCACAAACCTCCGCAATAGCTACGAACGCGCTACGGCTGGGCCAAGTCACCACCCCATTTGTGGAGATTTTATGGTTTGAAATGAATTCCACAATAAAAACTTAAATTATGGAAAGATGTTCTCTTGCAGTCAGAAAATATGGAATGTATGTATGTTGAACTTATTTGGAATGAAAATACATCACATTTCCACTCCATAATCCCTTGATGTTGAAGCACAAGGACAGACTGTATTTAAAGTGCCAAATTGGTCAATACACAATGTGAGATTGTTTTTCAACCAAGTAGAGTTAGCTTTGAGAAATAAGTCAAGATTTATTTGGTCTTCAGCAGTACCAATGTCTTTGCCCTCTATTGCCAGTTGTCATCCTTCCATGTTTACCAATCAATATAATAATAACGATGCATTTGTCTAAACACAATGCACCGTTTAAACTACTTAGAAAGCTAAGCTGCCTTGAGTAAGACACGTTGCTAAACGGGTTGATGGCTGATGGTTCAAGGCAATGAACAGAAGGGGTCCGACAGAATGTCCAAACTAGGAGATGAAGCGATGAAATCTGCTCATGTCGAGACGCGATGTGGATTGTTACATCACAGGATCATGAGATCTCCAATTTTCTGCACACCTCTGATTAACACGGTTGGCTACGTACACTGCAAAAGAAGTTCAACATACATACATACAATGACTTGGGGAGGCATTCATCCCCAAAGTGAATCGAGCTTGGCTGCTGATGATGACGACGGCGATGATGATGATGATGAAGTACACTAATCATCTCAAGGTGCTGCAAAAGACAAGCTTGTAAATATAAATGGCACATTCGGACAAAATCAATGTCAGCATACGTAAGACCCAAAAATAACTCAAATATGCATTGGGTGGATTGAGCAGGGGCTGTGACACCTCAAACAGGCGACTCAAACCTCGCTAAAAGCTAAAACAAACACAGACGGCGAATTAAACCGTGAAGCACAACGTCTGAGGCAACAACGTCTACCATTTAATGCGAGCTCTGAAGATTGGGATGGTGACTATTTAGGATGAAGATGGCAAAATGGGAACAACATTTGGGAAAGTGTCATTAAGAAGTATCTTTTTTCAAATATTATTGCTGTGGTTTTCACACCTGATGATGATTGCTTGTGTTGCAGTCGAAACGTCGTGAGAATTTTCTTGTTTTATATTTTTATTATTTATTGTTTCCCTTCTACGTGACTTTACCGAAAGCACCAAGAATAAGAAGTATCTAGTCGATTAGCACCTCTGATTAGCAAGGTTGGCTACATACGGTGTAAAAAAAGTTCAACATACATACAAGTGAATGGCGGAGGAGAGCAGGAAGGTCTGAAGGCAGGACCAGTGATGCTGGGATGGGCCCAGAATCCCCAAATGCCCCCTTAGCTCTCACACCCCCCCCCCCCCCCAAGTTCACTCTACTTCACGTTGCATCACTGTTCAACTCAGATAAACTATTTGTATTTTACCAGGTAAGCCCCTCTGACCTATATAGCCCATTTTTCGGAAGCGACCTGGCCACAAATGATACCTCAACAAGGTGGCTTATCAAGTGCAAATTTAAACCAGCCAAATACTCGAAATGCATTTTGATTCTAAATGTTGAGGGAAAAACTGCAGGACGCGGAAAAAAAATCCACGCCGCCACAAAGATAGAGACACGAAAAATCGAAATATACAGGCATCGTCAAGGTCGGGATCGAATCCACGAACTCCTGCATACCAGGCAAAGGAGATAACATCTCGCCACCATGGTTCCCGTTATTTTTGGATCTAAAACACGTTGATGGAGAACATTGGAAATTGTGAAGATAGGGAACAGACTGTAAAATCCCTGGTTTGTGAGTTCTATATGGTAACACAAGCCTGCATGTGGCTTTATTTTTTTGTCAATGCAAGGACAATTGCAAATTGTTCTCATGATACATCATTGATTCGACTCGCGCGAACATTACCCTAAAGCCACTCTACGAATGTTAACATTTGTCGTGAAAACCGCCACGTTAAACATCTCTCTTACATGACAAAGACATTTAAATAAAACCATTTGTACTTCCATTTTATGACGAACATATACAGTAGTGAAAAAAAATAGTATTCTGAATTGTCTTTTTTTATGTAACAAATAACAAATGCAACGAAACAGAAGGGTGAAACAGATTGGTGTCTGCATTAGGCACCTGTGGCCCAAATTGTAATATGCAGTAGTCCACAACTCAGTGGCAATTTCTTACCATTCGTTCATTCTCACAAGGTTTCTGATTTATTTAGCTTCGCTAAACTTGAGTGAGAAAAGTTCACGATAGCTTTCTTTGACATTTTCACGGAGGCTATTAAAGAGGCGGGGGAAAAAACATTTTTGAGATCGGGTACTGAAAAGCGAGTAGCAGATTGAAAACGAATTTCTTTAGAAATGCTTTTGTGGTCAGATTGTTGTCCTTCCCACACGTCTCCAATGTGGGCGGTTGGCGTGAAGGTGAGGCGGTGTGAGTCTTGCACTGCACGGTTGTAAAAGACATGTGGGAACACACACATACCTACTCTCATTCAGCCCACGTGAGTAAGAAAGTAGCAAATGTAACCGTGAATAAATAAAAATCGATGGCATTTAGTGTGGGCACTCGTCCCCTCCTCCAAGATATCTGACTATCGTGGAAGAGTAGGCCAAATACCCTCTAGAGCTCCCTCTAGTGGAGGCCTTTCACCCAACAGTGGCGTTTGCAAGAAATTGCAGGCCTGTACCTTTACCACCGTTGGACCGAGTTATTTAAAAGGCAGCCTGCATGCACATGCAATGACGACTTGACACACTTCTCTTGAGATGACACTTTACTGAAGACACATTCACATGACACAGGCGGAGACCCCCATTGCAAAAGCCCCGAGTCTCCCGCGCATCTCCCATTATATACAGACCGAGGCCACGCACGCCTTCCCGAGTCTTCTCGCTGACTCTGGACGCTCGCTCCACCGGCAGATTCGACCGTTCTCTTCCGTCACCTAGCCACCAGTCCCTTCGCACTCACAGCTGACACCCCTGTCATTAGCTCCCGTGGCCGCTAGTCCACTCACACAGCATGTAGAGTCTACTGTCATTACAAACACATCACTCCCCACCCTCCTACAGGGACCCCCCCCCCCATCCTACCAATATCCTGCCACCCCCAGGAAAAAGAAGTCTAAGACCCTAAAGCGCCACCAGTGGCTTAGAACATTATATCGCAACCGGTGCGCCGCACCAAAAGTCCCCCAGGTGTGTCGCAGTATTTTCGGAATTGCAGGAGAGGAAAGTCCCCGCCACCTCCCACTTCCCGCCCTCCCCTCTCCCGCTGGTCGCGCATGCAGAGTGCGGCAGCAGGCAAGCCGTCAGCCTCCACCCCCGGACCCTCTCAAGTCCCCCGATCACCCATGCGCAATTGGCAACAACAGACAAGGAGACACACGCGGACGCACGCAGACATGGAGACAAAGGACAAAATATCTCCCGATTTTGCTGTGTGCGAGGACCTGTGAAGGCCGGCACGAAACACGAAGGGATGGGTGGCCAGGACCACGCCCAGCCACCTTTGTCTCCCCAGTGCTGATGTTTATACACCGCACCAGGTACTCATTGGAGTCTGTGTCGATGTAGGAGAGGCGTAAGTGGTTCAAATACCCGCCACTGTAATTGATCGTGAGCAGGAATTAAACACGGGTCGCCACGTTCCTAGCGCAGTGTGGTAACCACTCGCGA